AGACTGAGTGTGTAGCTCAAGTTGTCAGGGATGATTACCTACAGTAGTGCTGAGCCATCAGACTACTACACAGGGATGACTACCTACAGTAGTGCTGAGCCATCAGACTACTACACAGGGATGACTACCTACAGTAGTGCTGAGCCATCAGACTACTACACAGGGATGACTACCTACAGTAGTGCTGAGTCATCAGACTACTACACAGGGATGACTACCTACAGTAGTGCTGAGCCATCAGACTACTACACAGGGATGACTACCTACAGTAGTGCTGAGCCATCAGACTACTACACAGGGATGACTACCTAAAGTAGTGCTGAGCCATCAGACTACCACACAGGGATGACTACCTACAGTAGTGCTGAGCCATCAGACTACTACACAGGGATGACTACCTACAGTAGTGCTGAGCCATCAGACTACTACACAGGGATGACTACCTACAGTAGTGCTGAGCCATCAGACTACTACACAGGGATGACTACCTACAGTAGTGCTGAGCCATCAGACTACTACACAGGGATGACTACCTGCAGTAGTGCTGAGCCATCAGACTACCACACAGGGATGACTACCTACAGTAGTGCTGAGCCATCAGACTACTACACAGGGATGACTACCTACAGTAGTGCTGAGCCATCAGACTACTACACAGGGATGACTACCTACAGTAGTGCTGAGCCATCAGACTACTACACAGGGATGACTACCTACAGTAGTGCTGAGCCATCAGACTACTACACAGGGATGACTACCTACAGTAGTGCTGAGCCATCAGACTACTACACAGGGATGACTACCTACAGTAGTGCTGAGCATACTGGATACCACAGGACTCATACTGGATACCACAGGACTCATACTGGATACCACAGGACTCATACTGGATACCACAGGACTCATACTGGATACCACAGGACTCATACTGGATACCACAGGACTCATATTGGATACCACAGGACTCATACTGGATACCACAGGACTCATACTGGATACCACAGGACTCATATTGGATACCACAGGACTCATACTGGATACCACAGGACTCATATTGGATACCACAGGACTCATATTGGATACCACAGGACTCATATATTGGATACCACAGGGACTCATACTGGATACCACCGGACTCATATTGGATACCACAGGACTCATACTGGATACCACAGGACTCATACTGGATACCACAGGACTCATACTGGATACCACAGGACTCATATTGGATACCACAGGACTCATACTGGATACCACAGGACTCATACTGGATACCACAGGACTCATACTGGATACCACAGGACTCATATTGGATACCACAGGACTCATACTGGATACCACAGGACTCATAATGGATACCACAGGACTCATACTGGATACCACAGGACTCATACTGGATACCACAGGACTCATACTGGATAACACAGGACTCATACCGGATACCACAGGACTCATACTGGATACCACAGTGCATATCACAGGAATCAAATTAAATCCAATCAAATTGTATTTGCCACATGCGCCGAATACAACAGGTGTAGACATTACCGTGAAATACTTACTTACAAGCCCTTAACCAACAATGCAGTTCAAGAAATAGAGTTAAGAAATTATTTACTAAATAAACTAAAGTTAAAAATAAAATAAAAAGTAACACAATAGAATAACAATAATGAGGCTATATACAGGGGGTACCGGTACCGAGTCAATGTGCTGGGATACAGGTTAGTCGAGATAATTTGTACATGTAGGTAGGTGTAAAGTGACTATGCATAGATAATAGACAGCGAGTAGCAGCAGTGTAAATACAAAATGGAGGAGGAGGAGGGGGGGGGGGGGGGGGGGGGGTCAATTTAAATAGTCCGGGTGGCCATTTTAATTAATTGTTCAGTAGTCTTATTGCTTGAGGGTAGAAGCTGTTAAGGAGCCTTTTGGTCCTAGACTTGGCGCTCCGGTACCGCTTGCCGTGTGGTAGCAGAGAGAGCAGTCTATGACTTTGGTGACTGGAGTCTTTGACAATTTTTTGGGAGCTTTTGACCCCTGGTTAGGGGGGGTTT